GCACAGCCGTCTCATGCGCTACCCCGGGCATTTCTTTAGCACTCCACGCGAACAACTCCGCAAATTCTTTCAACAGAGCGACCAACTTCTCGACCATTTCGGGAGGCGCCTGGACCGAAATCCTGATCTGCCTTTCCGGTCGCCCCTCATCCAAGGGGATCAGCAATTCTTCGTCGGCCGCCTCCGCTCTGGGCGCCTCCTCGGACGTAATCGCATTGACCCTTTGACTTTTACGCGGCCGTACGCCCTTAAGCATTGTATAAATGGGGGCGCCTCTTCCTCTTGCGATACCCACTCCCTTCGGCGCTATGAACTTCAACGTCTGATGACAAGTGGACGCCACCCCATTGAACAAGGCCAAAAGGGGCCTGCCGAGTATAGCATTGTAGGGGGAGGGGCAATCCACAATCCCAAAATCGATAGCATGAGTGACCCGCTGCTCCTCATCTCCCAAAGTAACAGGGAGGCGCACGCGCCCTATTACCTTCGCGGGCGCCCCGGAGAACCCGACGAGCATCGAGTCCGACGGTCGTATTAAGTCAGGAGACAAGTGCATGCGCGCTACCGTATCCTTGAACAGCACGTCCATGGAACTCCCCGTATCCACGAGCATCCTCTTTACCACGCACCCTGCCACTATTCCTTGAATCTCCAGCGCCTCTAAGGAGGGGACCCCATAAGCTTCATCAGGCACCTGGTTGAAACTAATGCACACCCCTTCGTGTCGATCAACCGATGCTTCTCTTAGGCGCCTGCTAGCTTCCAATTTTTCTCGCAAATCTCCGATGCCTGTAATCGCGTCCACCGTAAGCCTCACCTTCTCAGGCGCCTTTTCCTGATCTAGCTCGAATGGAGGCGGGGGGAGATCCTCCTTGGGCCCCGCCCGGGCCACATATGCTCTGTGCACCTTCTCTTCCGGTTTTTTGACGAACTCATTAAGCATGCCCCTGTCCACCAATCCTTGCAATTCAGTCTTCAACTGGTAACAATCAACTGTATTGTGCCCCCGCTCCCGATGGAAGTCACAAAATCTATCCAGATTTTGTGGGTTGGGTTGCCCCCTCATAGGCCCTGGCCATCTCACGTGGTACCCCTTATCCTTGACGTATTGCAACACGTTCTTCGGCGAGTCGTTAAGCTCCGTGAATTGATTCACTTTAGGCGCCGGGCGCCCCTGATCATTCCTCCGCACCGGTGCGACCGATGCTCCCCCATAGTCCTAGACTCGGGCGCCTGCCTCCGTCCATCTCCTTCCTCTCCCCTAGGTCGGCGCCTGTCGGCCCGCCTTGATGCTAGCGCCTCTTCCAACACTATAACTTTCTGCACCCTTCGATCCAAATCTTCCGTAGACACCACATCCCTTTTAGCTAGCGCCCGACAAAGTTCCTCACTGGTGGTGCACTCCTCAAGGAGGACTCCAAGCACCGGGGGCTGCACGTCTCTTACCGCCATGGCCACCGGGATCCACCGCTCATAGAACTCCCTCAAGGTTTCTCCCTCCTTCTGCTTGATCTCGAATAGGGAGCCCACGGTCAGTGTGCGCCTCTTTCTACTTGCGAACTTAGCCAGGAACATCGCCGCAAATTGCTCAAAGCATTCTATGCGCCCTTCCTCGATCTGATGGTACCAATCTAATACGACGCCTGAAAATGTTGAGGGGAAGACCTTGCATAAAGTTGCGTCCGAACTGTTGTACAACTGCATTTTGGTGAAGTAGCTGTTGAGGTGGTCGTCCGGGTCCGCCGTACCATCATAGGTGGGAAGTGGTGGAATGTTGGTACTAGCGGGCTCCATGAGCACGCTCCGGGCCAAAGGCTGCCTCACCACAAACTGTCGATGCGGGCGCCCCGGCATCCACACGTTCCTCTCTCCCTCAGAATCTCCATAATCGGCCAGGCGCCTCATGCTGGCAAGGCGCCTCAGTGAGCTGGACTCCCCTTCAGCTTCCATCGTACGCTCCCTCTTCCTTGCTCCGGGGCCTGGGGCGCCCTCCTTCAACATTTCCACCTCTCTCCTCAACATCCCAATGGCCTCGTCTTGATCGGCTATGATCTTGAACAATTCCTTTTTAGTCACCGAGGCCCCATCTGAATCCGGGCGCGGGTCTTCACTTCCCTCATCCTCCCCCATGCTGGGCGTTCCTCCTCCTGCTTCTTGAGACGCCTCCTCCATGTGTTGCTCTTCCATCTCACTTCCACCCTCTTCCATTGAAACTAGGCGCTCCCTGGTTGTGTTCTCCCCCTACCTGGCGCGCCAATTGTTGAAGCCCACTCGATTGGCCTACTTTTCTTCCGTACCAGCTGACTCCCTCACGATTAAGCCTGCACTCACAGAGGTGGGCCTTGTGGCCCGTTAGTCCTCCAACGCTCAAGTCAGTAACTTTCTTAGTGAGAGAAGTGCTTGCAATGCACAATTTTAGTGAGAGAAGCCAAATTGAGTAAATGCTTACCCACCTCCCTATTTATAGCCAATTACTGCTTACCTGGACCTTCTCGTACGGATTTCCACGTCAGCCCTACATGTAATGCGGGTGATCCAGGGCGCTTCCTACGAAGAAGATTCCGGGCGCCCTCTCCGAGGGTCCACAATTCCCACGAACATACCCGGGCACCTACGGTGCGAGTACTCCTATGCGCCTAGCGCATGCAGCTCACAACTTGCTCTTGACCCAAGCCCGTGGGCGCCTATCATGGCCTACACCATCTTGAATGGGCTCACCTTTTCCACGAACTACTTGGGCCTCACGCCCTTTAATGGGCCTCATACACACATCGGTGCCTCCTTATTCGTATACCCCCAACATATATATATATATATATATATATATATATATATATATATATATATATATATATATGGTACCCAGGGTGAAATTCGGGGGTATCGCATACCTTGAGTAAGAAAACGCTATCCAGAAAACGCTATCCTTAAAGATCAAAATCTAGGCCTTAGTTCTCTAAATCTTATACCCCAAGATCAATTTAATTAGAATTAATAATCGACGGCCATGATTCTTGGAATTGCTATAACTAGCTCCAATTCCGTAGAATTCAAAATTTAGAATTGAAAATGAATTCTTTTAAATACCAAACACAAAAGATTTTCATTTCAAAATGAATTTCTCAAAACTTATGGAATTCATTTATACCAAACAGTATGTTAGAGAACATGTACGACATGTCAAATAGAGCAAGTTGCTCCGAAACACAAATTCGAAGAGGGATAAACACAAGTTTTTAGTACTTCTTAGTTCTTACCATGCGTTCAAGATATGATAACTAAGGATGGCAATTTGAACCAGTTTGTTGGGTATTCTCCGATTTGATCCGTAATTGGGTGGGTTTACTCGATCCACAGTAGTGTTGGGCAGTGCATGAGTAACTACTTCCGACCCGTCATGCCCCGTCCTGCCCAGTTTTTGGCTTTTCTATCTTAATTTCTTACAATATTTATTCATATTTCTCAAATTTTGACTTTTGTTCAACTAGTTAGATTTGGTCTTTCAACTAGTTAGACTCAATTACACATTCTATTGTCACTATTTTTCATTGAAAAGTGATTTCCCTTCGATATATCGCAAAAAGTAAATTTTGTGTCTATTTTTTCAAATGACATGTAAGAGTGGGTTGACCCACCCGCACTGTACTCGCGCGGGTATTACTCTGCCCGACCTGTGCTTGGTGTGAGACAAGAATGGTTATTGAGATACCCACCTCGCATCACCCGTTTGCCATCACTAATGATAACTTGACCTTTTTTACTTGTAGCTTTGACATGGCGCATTACGTAAATATAATTATTATGTAACAATAATATAATGTTTGTTAGTCTTAACAGATAAAGAATGATGTTATGTAAGACTTTCGTAATGGTTTAACACTTTACATAATGCAAGGTTAATATTCATTATGTAAAGGGATCGTCCATTACATAAGGGTGTTGTGTTGTTCATTACGTAAAGGTTATAAAATGATTCTATTTCCTACGTAATGACTTAATGCATTATGTAACTTTGGTTAATACTCATAACGTAAAAGGCTCGTCCATTATATTGAAAATGATATATATTTTCAATATATTTCGAGAATTTTTTTTTTACCGCCCGGGTATTACCTTCGTTTTTAACTCGAATTGTGAAATTTTTTGTCCGGAATGAATGAGTTTATCGTGATCTATTGGATCTACAAATTTATAGTAAAAAATTCAGGACCAAATATACCGTCATGATATAGGGTAGTCATTGGTGGTAGATAGTGATGAAAAATGGTAAATGACCATTCGTAGGAGGTACAGGGTGATAATTGGTGGTAGACGGTAATAAAAAGTGGTAAATGGACATTAGAATATTCCTACTACCATGTATATAATCATTCTACACTTTAGTATATTTATACCACCATGATACACTTTTATACTACGTGGTATAATCTTTACACTACCAACCATTGTCGCATGATATAAACTGGTAATAAATGCCTCATTTTAATTTCAAAATATATCACTAGAGAACACAATTAAAAAGTCTCAAATTTTTTTAGATGCAAGAATGACCATCAGCTTAAAAAGAAAACTAATTAAGTTCTCCTAGATCATTCAGTCTCCCATGGAAAGAGAGATACTTCCCAACCTTATTTTCATACTTTTGTGCCATTTATTTTCCTATTTGCCAAAATGACTTCCATTTCCCCAGATTTAACGTCATCATTCCTCTTCACTTAACCAAGTCCTTCAATACTACTTTTGCTACTACCTTTATTTAAGGCATCATACCATTCAACATAATTAACTTGATGTTTTCGTCTATAATTTGTTTTCTCCAATGGGCTCGATCAATCCTCCCTACATCGAAATAAGATTTTTCTGATATATTTGAACATCATCTTTTCGACATCTATATGTTTTGACATGTAATATTAATGAACCATAAATCAACCATTTGAACAATTATTATCATGAAATATAGGCTTCCCAAAAAAACCTGTAGCAACTAGCAACAAAACACCGAGTTGTGTCGATGCCATAGTTGCCATTCAAAGCAGAAAAGAGACAGCATTTTCTGTCTGCTCTGGTAGCAGTAAACACCAAGATCAACAAAACGATCACTACATACATTCAACTGTCTGCTGCTCTGTCCAACGACGATACCGTGTCATATTTATACATTCTCCAGAATCATAAGGCGCAGTATCTTGGAACCAACTGTGTTCAAAATGGAAAATATGAAAGCACGAAACAGAAACCATTCGTTTCCCTGTTACATCCCTCTCTCCCTCCCTCCCTCCCCCTATCGAAGAACCAACCAATGCTATTTACCAGACTGCTGCAGTGGTGAATCCCTGGAAGACTCAGTCTTACGAGAATCTGCTGTAGCAGTAGATTTAACACTGCTGTTGGGGGTTCCATGAGCAGTTAGCCTCTCCATACCGATTTGAAGGTCAGTAAGCGAGTCCTTCGAAACTTTTCCTTTGGGAGTCTTCTTTCCCTCGACAAGCTTGAATTCCAACTTGTATAGAGCACATGAAGCATCGCTGTTCTTGACCTGGTACTCGTATAGATGCCACTCTTCACTGCAGGAAGGCTGAGGGTCCATGTAATAAGATCTCTTCTGGCACCCCAATGTCATGTCCTGCTTCCTGGATTCATGCCAGCGCCCTGAGTAGTCTGGCAGCGATCTCTGCTTCCTACTTCCAGAGTCATAAGCCCTCCTAGGCTTATCAAAAAATAGCCACTCTCGAACAGTTTCCCCTTCACATAAAGAAAGATCAAACAGTTCTGCAACATTGGAAAAAGACTAAGGATTAGCCAAACTGAACTATGTAGAGGTTGAACAGCTTGCTCTTTTATATTAAAGTCACACAGTGAAATCAAACGTAGCAAGCGTAGGGATCAGGAAGTGATCTTGACTAGCTCATCCTTCATTCATAGATTGTACTCAGTAGTGAACCAGATCAAAGATACAAGTGGAACAGGGTACGATAGAAGCTTACCAGTGGCGTTCCATGGTGATTTTGCATTAGCAGCTCCCTCACATTGAGGAATACCAACATCGTTACCCTGTATCCTTGCAGTAAGAGCATCAAAGAGAAAATTGTCCTTCACACCAATTCCCTTGGGTCGTAGAATTGGTCTTGTTCCTGGGCAGCCTTCACTCACAGCTAGCTCACCATGGAAGCTGTTACAGTAGTCCTTATATGGTTCAGATCCTTGAGCTGGTCTGGTACAGTCCCAGAGTGCACATTTGGGACCCATGAAAGCTGAAGGAGGAGGGCTAACATATGATAGTTTGCTACATTCAGTACTGTTTTCACAGACATCATTAGTATTATTGCCAATGTAAAGCCCATGACCAAGGGCTTCATCCAAAATGAAATTATCGCCCTCCAGGAAGGTATTCATATCCGGGGTTTTAACCATTATACTCTCAAATTCATCAGAAAACCCGCTGGGTTGATCAAGCCCTTCAAAATCTTGCTTCAAAGTGTCAGCATTTCCAAAGGAACCCTGAAAAGTAAAGGTTCACTTATCAGTTACCATCAACTAGATTGACACATGAACAGAAGTCTGGAGTGAAGAACGCTTCAGTTAAATCTACACCGTGCATATAACATCAGTTAAAACTTTGATCATTTTATTCTCCTGCATCGAAGTTAGAGAATTGACGAAAACATTATTTATAGAAGGTCTACACAATGTTTGAATAACTAAGCATGCTTTGGGTACAAATCTAAATACCTCATGGCAGCAGTATAAAGCAAACCCCATATATAGGATTGAAGTAGTTTGAAATTGACATCAGAGCATTTGCCAAGAGAAAACAGTACAACACTTCAAAGACGTTCAAGATGTAGATATAGACAAGGTACATCAGCTAACATTATCATTGAGCACACTTACAGCTAGTACCATTTATATCAGGTGCATAGAACCCAGTGGAATCTAGAAAGTACAGAAACTGATACGTCATTGTTCACTAGTGGATAGATCTATCGTCTACAACATGATGAATCTCAACAGTATGATTCATGTAATATCTCAGGAAACAAGAAATAAGTCTTGTCACATAAAGAACTCAACGAAATTGTTATAATGAAAGTGCACCAACTTTTTGAAACATCCAAAAGATCTTACATGATACGCTGTCAAATCACCAAGAGGAAGGCTTTCGGTATTCTGCTGTATACCGTGTTGAGGATCCAAAACTGCAAATTGAGTTAATGGACTGGTTGCATCATCTTCTTCCTCATACAATTGCAAGTAGCGGTTCAATTCATCCGAGAAGGATCCAAGATCACCGGCCTACAAAGTTTTTCATTAACAATGATTACCATCTAAGATAACTTGGTCTTGGTTACAGGCAACAATACTATCCCATTTAGAGGAATTGATGGTAACTGTCCACAGTAATTGTTCAGAACTTGAAACTTCAAAATACTAACAAGCAAAGAGGAGGCAGGGCTCGGTGCCTCTACTTCAGCATTCCATTCACGGAGACTCTGTGACACTTGTTCCTCCAACACCACCACATCTCTTTGGCGACCTTCCCTTCGAGCAGCTTGAAGATTAGAGAACCTCTCTTGAAGATCATTAAGCCTGTGCTTTACATTGTCCTTCAATTGACGGTGTGAAGTTGATGAGCAGTTACTTTTCTTGTCTTTCTGCATCGAATCCTATCCTCCTGGGCACAACAATGCAGTGTAGCCACACATCAAGGATATAAGAGCATTAGGCATCCCAGAAGTGGCAGAGACACGAGCTCTCAACTGACATAATTCCAAAGTAACTATATAACCATTGTCATTGGCTCTGGAAACCATTATTAGGCATCCCTAAATACACAAACACCGACTGTACCCTAAGTCCCTAACTAAACATGAAGAAGCAGGACAAATCACAATGAACAAAGAAAAGACCAATTGATCGGGAGGGAAAAGGAATGACCTAGAAAAACTAACACACAGACGTACATAATCCAACACATCTAAAGTTCGCCGGAATTCCCTAAAAGTGTACATTTAGAGGCGTCATAAACCTCCATCGACCCGATTATAAACAGATCAATCGCGAAAAAGGGTTCACAGACGATGAAGCCGCCGACCTATAGAGAAAATTCCTAGAGGCTAGAAGCCACAAAATCATCAATCAATTTATGCAAGAAGGAGATCACAGAGAATAAGCAAGAGACAGAACGAAGACTACGTTTTACCACTTACCAGATGGAACAGCGTAGCGCAGTGAGAATTATGACGGAGAGGAAGAGCTCGACACGGCGGCGGCGGGCACAGAGCAAACGCAGGCTTCTCGGCGTCGCTTGAGTAGTTTGGTTATGGGAGTTAACAGAGGAAGAAAGCCATTTTTCTTCTATGCTGCTGCTTGTGGAATTCGGCCGCTTGTTGCCAACGAAAGAGGAAGAAGGAAGCTTGGTTAGTGGAGAAGATGGGCCTCCTGATTTACTCACCTATTATGAATGAGTGAGCCGCGCTTCGCAGCGGGCCTCAATAAAAGATTGGGCTCTTTTATTATTATTATATAGTTACTTCAAGTCCACCCAATTTCATGTTCTTAGAACTGGGTTAAACCCATTGTTCCTAATTCCGTCATTTTTAGTTTCTGGCAATTTTTATGTTTACTAGCTTTTACTTATGCGTTGGTTGGATAAATTTTGTTTTATTTTATGTTGATTAATTCCTTCATTCTTTTAATTATTTTGAGATTTTTTAAAATAGTTAATTCATTATTTCTAAGTAATTTTTATAATATTTGTTGATTATGACATTAGCAATAATTAGTTAATATTTTTTTTTTATCAAGTTGTCCTAGTGTACTATTGTGTTTTTTTTTTCATATCTTAGAAGAAATTTATGGATTTTTTATTGCCGGATATGAATTTGAAGTTGGAAGGAAATATATGTCATCTAGAATTGGTAGGAATTGAAGGTACATTAAAAAATTAAGAGAATAGTTAATCTATTATTTTTCAACTCTAAGTAAAAGGTGTGTCATCTAGTCGATCGTTTGCAGGAAACATTGAGCTGGGTTTTTTTCTTCAAATCACTAATAATTTGAAAGTCAGGTATACCCTAAAAATAAATTTGTCATAAAAGTACGATTTATTAGAAACATAAAAATTTGAAATTGATTTATATGCTAGAAGAATCCCAGTTCTCGAAATAAAATTGTGGGGTCGTTTGGTTTTGGTGATAGTTTAGGTGGGATTGTTACAATGGGTGCATTGTCGACAATGCATCATTTTTCTGGGTTTTTTCCCTGCAACAATGCATGCATTGTTTTGTTGATGTGATGAAAAGAATCACTCAAAATGAGTGATATTACTATCTCATGTAAAACTTGAGATTGTTGAGATAGTTTGGTGGGGATTGTTTGATTCTTTTTTTGTTCCAATTATATCATTAGTTATTTATCTATATTCCCACAATATCCTTAAACTTCTATTATCTAATACGCTCTCATTTTTTCGGAAATACCCATGCTTAGTTCCCTCCACTTTTTTCGTGGATGGCTCTACCACCCGTTCAATTTAACACCCTCTTCCTTCAAAATTTCGCCATCGATCTAGCCTCCTCATTCTCGTCGTCGGTTTAATATAAGCAACTAGTGTTTGTATCCTAAGTAGAATACATGTGTCTATCTCTATAATTTAAAGAGGGTTAGAATTACTACAAATCATTATTCGTCTATAACCCAAAAAAAAAACAAGGGTAAAATAGATATTTCATACGAAAGAGAAATACAATTATTTAAATGCTAAAACAACTATCACCAAAACCAAACGATGTACACTACATTACATCATTTTCCCTAATTGCATGTATATTTCAATGCATGCATTGATTTAATTATCACCAAAACCAAACTACTTATTGCCTGCAGAATTGATTCCAAACATAATCAGCGTAGAATTTTGGTATTCACATCCTGTCAGGCGATGCCATTAAGCTGAGGGTAAAGTGACAATCTTGATATTGCATTGTATTTGCTGGCATGTCTTTGACAAAAGGCTTTGATCCTGTCAAGTCCAATTCCCAGTGCCCAAGGATCGATTGCAAAAGTCACACGAACCCAACTCTTCAGACCCACAGCTGTACCTGCACAAGTATGAAACGATATTATATTATATTCGATGTCTATGAATAAATTGTTATAACCCAATCATATATTCATTGATTTGAAAAGCAAAAAAGTAGGTTCAAACTATAAGGTGTAAAGATGAAAGTGAAGAGTTTTTTTTTATAGTAGATAAATTTTTTTTGGATGGAAATGAGTTGGTGTGAATTTTTCATACTAGACTTAATAGTCTTTTTCAACCGAGTATATATCATTTATTTTAGGTTGGATTACAAAAACATTTACAAAGAAAAATATTTTTTTTTTTTGTATTCTGCAAGATAACATTCATTATTATATTTTTTGGAGCGAAAAATTTCGACATAATTTTATCACTATCATATCATGATATTATCACATAGTATGAGAGTGGTTAGATGATATTTTGAAATCTTACCATAATAGTATGATATGTGTACGAGTATGACAATGATCAGATAGTACGAATTCTTAACATGGTGTATATAATAATTAACGCTTTCTTTTCTTGCAAAAATTACTAAATTTTGAGTTAAAATGATGATACATGATTAAATTAAGAAAAATGAGATATTAAAAAAGAAAAATATGACAAAGAAGTGGTGAAACTATTAGTCTATTCCGCCTTATGCTTATCCAATTCTTTAGTGATCCAGAAGATGAAAGTGTGGAGATGAAGGGCAATATATAGATTTGTGTGATAAAGTTTTGTAACAGTAGAAATGATTTTTTTAAAAACTATAGCTTAAATAAAAAACCAGCAACGACTGATTTTTATTACCCGGAATCAATATAACTAATTCCTCCTCTGAAAGCTTCAGACAAAAGTCAATATCATCTTCAATCCTGGCAAATTCTGACAGATTCAACTTTACCTGGCATAGAGAATAAGTAAAAAATAATAATAAAAGATGTCATGTCAAATTGGTACTAGTTGATGAAAGAACACAACATGGAATTACACATTTACACCGGAAACTCTAATTGTTTGGATGGATCAATTTAGAAATGAGTCAATTTGATTAATTGTCTCGTTTTATAAATGAGGCAATTAAAACGAGTCAATTCGAATTACCTGCCCCACCCCAGGTAATTGAAATTGACTCAAAACGGATCAATTCAAAATATTTCAGGCAGATTGATCCATCCAAATTTTTTGCTGGCAGACGAGACAATTTGGTACAATTGTCTCAAAACGAGACAATTGTGTCAAATTGATCCGTTACAATTCCTCATCCAAACGACTCCTAAATGTTAGACTGCTACGGCTATTACGAGGACGAAACATGTCTTTGAAATATCATATTTCAGAAGTGAGGGGGTATTTCTGTGGATTAGTCTCCCTCGTATCAAGCAAAGATATCACGTAAATTGTTGCGTTTCTGTGTGATTCTCTTTCATATTTAACATAGTATCAGAGCTGGTTCGACCAAATGATCGTATGTTTGAATCTCCACGACCTCGAATATTAACAGTTGATTAAAGCAAAAAGTATGGTGGACCTGTACAAACTTCAAGCCCGTAAGTTAACTTTCGTTTAATGGGGCGTGTTAGATAGTGGTATAAGATCCATAATTAATCTTGTCGCAACAACTTGAGTTATTGAGACCAACTGCTTTATGCCATTAGTTAAGGTATAATTAAATGCTACGTCGGGTCCTTAAAACGTCCATATGTTCCTACAAATTTCTTAAAGTAGAAGGATTTTGATCCAAAAATAGCAGCAATTTGGAATCAAAGTTCCAATCTATCGAGTACAAATCAGTTAATCAGTTTTTTTTTTGACAGATTAACAATCTTAATTATCTAGTACTTAATTATACACAAATGAAGATGAGTATGCACTCACCATGAGAGACATGGCACCGTCGGCTCTGGTGGGACAAGTGAGTCCAGGTATGTCCTGAAACCTGTCGTAGCACAGATCGGCGGCCCTTTTGAGTAGCTTGTTGATGTTGCTGTAGAAATGACGGTCCGTCTTCTCCAGGATTTGAGGCACCGCTCCTTGAATGAGCGTTGCCGGGTCCGCACAAATGTTGATGCAGTCCTTAATTGTGTCTACCATCTGTCACCACATATCGCAATTAACCAAGCAATGTTGTTAGTTGATTACCTAAGGATTCAATCATCATGCTGTTACTTAATTCGATACAGAGTCCATCGGATGTTCTGATTTGCCGAAGTGCAACGAACTACATTCAATTGTTAAATCACTTGAAGTATGGTATAGTGCAAGGTGTACATCAATTGTTATCATATATACCCTAAGTACACAGGGTAATTAAATATGATGGTACGCATCTCCTAAGTAGTATTGAGAATACTATCTAACCTTGTATTAACCTAACTTTGGGATATGATATTATAACCGAACCCTTAAAATCTAGGATATGCATACCCCCATATCCTAAATCTTGTACACTAAGATAAGTTTCATCATAAACAATATCGACGACTATGATTCGCCTATATACATGCAATAAAAACTATATGTACCTTCTTATGATTAGAGTTCATAATTAAGATAATTGGGACATAAGATTCGTTGATTAAAAGTTAGAATATAGTACCATACACCCAAAATCATCCCATGTACTATATATATATATACATTGGAAGGTCAAAATTTAAGTACTCGCCAGTCGCCAACCTGGACCCAAATCACATGTTTACCCATATATACAAAATTATTCCTTTCTGTATTATTAATTACAAACTTTGTATATTTACTAATTACGTACTGAATTGAGTTTGATGTATTCTGTGGGAGAAGAAAATTACCGAATAATAAAACGTAGATAAGTAAGTACGTACCCCAAAATCCCGAAGAACGGCATTAGGATCCGTAACGGCGATCCAGCCGAGGCGCCAGCCGGGAACAACCCATCGCTTCGACAGCGAGCCCAGCGTCAGCACCGGCACGATCGAACCAAACACTCCCATCGGCACGAACGGCCGTTTCTCCCCACCAAATGTGAGCTGCTCGTAAACCTCGTCGGCGATCACCAAAACCCCGAGCTTCCTGGCCACCTCCGCGATCCCCTTCAGCTGCTCGTACCCGAAAACGTTGCCGCACGGGTTCCCCGGGTTGATCACCGCGATGGCCACGGTGTTGCCGTCGGCGAGGTCTCCGAGGGATTTCAGGTCGACCGCCCACCCCTTCTCCGGCTGGAGGTCGTAGTGGCGGACCTCCACGTGGCGCTGGGCGGCGGCGGACTCGTAGTCCGGGTAGCCTGGCCTCGGCAGCAGGATGTTGGCCCCCGGCCGGCAGGCCAGTGCGGTTATGGCGACTTCGATTGCTTGCGTGCATCCCACCGTCAGGTAGACGTCGTCGGGGGATAGTTTGTACGGCAGGCCGGAATTCAGGTACTCCGCCACGGCCCTGCGTACGTGTTAGAAGGAGGAGGGAGAACTGAATGAATACATGTTTTTTTTCAACAATTGCTGGCTCCAAATGTAGTGAATATTAAAATAATATGCTATTATTAATTTATTATCGACAGGGCCAACTTAATTAAATGAAATTAACATATATTAAACGAAAAAAGTACTTAAATTCGATTATGGCCTGCTCGTTCTAGTTTTCATATAATTTTTTTTTTTACCATTTTCAATCAAGTCCTATATTAGTTTCGATTTGATCCGAGACCATATTGGAATTGGACCACCTCCACATGTAAGTTTAATCACAAGCACGCCAAGTTAATAATTTTTTTCTTTGGATTGCCATCTGAGTTTTGGTTCGATAGCTAATTCGTTATTTGACATCAATTTGTCGTAAATAATTCAAATTACAGTGGTTGATAATTGATGTGGATGGATTGTGGATAAAAATTCCTACGTATACTTATTCGAATTGGGGGGAGGGGTTTGCAGGTCGTTCGAACAACTCACATATGATTTTCACGTGACAAATGTTTGTTTCTTGTTTGTACTGTCGAATGATCATAATGGTTTCTTCCCTTAAAAAAAGTCATCATATTTCCAATATACATTGACAATCTACTTCTAAAGGCGAAAAAAGTGAACTACTTCTATTGGTTACTATGTTGTGTATCCATTCAAAAATCGGATTCAAATTATAAGCATTTAATTTTATCAAACTCAAACTCATATAGTTAAATTTTTTTTATCAAATTCATAGATAGTGTCAGTCCTATTTTACACAATGTGTTGAATGGAGAGGTGAAAGGTGATATATTTGTCAAAGAATTCAAATCCACACGTGTAATGAGTCTGAGTCTCTAAGTATGTGGTTAATAACTTTGTTTTCTTTCTTAGCGAATATTTAATTTAAAGTGGTCAGCTGAAAACTTTGTACGAGTAATAAAAAAACTTTCTGTCACAAGTACTAAACATGTCCACAAGAGATAAATTGGGAAGTGACTAAATTGTTAACGCATTCCAAATTTGTCAGAAATTTATTTTAAATATTAGTCAATTAACTTGTTTAATGTCTAGACGGGAATTGATTTTGCGGGTTAACCCACAGTCCAATTGCATCCACCCACCCAATCTAACTCGAAGAAAAATGTGAGTGGATAATGAGTCACAACTGTATCAACTTGTTAAAAAATGTGAGTGAATTTGATATCGAAATTCACCCAACCCACTCATTACCCATTCTAGCTTGGGTAGCACATGGGATGTACTGAATACTGATTTTATTCTCGAGGGATGAAGTTAATTGTCGATTATGAGTATCAATATGGAAGTTCCGCTCTCTACTCTGATTGGTTCAAAGATGGAATACTGCAATTGGAATACCAGCTTGACCACAAGAGTGAAGAGATGAGCATATATACATGGTAATACTTGTGTACGTATGGTCATACGTATAGTATACAGTAGGTGATCTAACCGTTAGATGTATTTAGATGAGCTCCGGTCGATCTCAACGATTAATTTTTGTGATTCATTAAATCAAACTTCGGGTTGGGGTTTAGAAAATCGGTGCCTTTATCCATTAGAGGTTAGGTTATAGTATCATACCCCAAACTCGATTTAATTCATGGTTTAGATAGAGATATCTCACTAGTAGTACCTGACGTATAGTATACGCCTGACGTACTTACAGTCTGACCTATATATATTATGACGATGAAGTAGTAGCTAGAATTAATACCTTCTGGCGGGAAGGATGCCGACGGCCGGAGCGTAACAGTTGTACTGGCCGGATTCAAGAGCACCGACGATGGCCGATTCGACGGAGGGATCTGTACGGAAGCAAGAGAAGGCAGACGGGTCGCCCTGGCCAAGCTGGATGACGGGTCTCGGGTCCTCCTTGTTCATGCTGTCCATGACCCGGTTGTAAACGCCTCTCAACGTGCTTGCCGATGCTTCGCCGATCTCCGGCCGGTTGCCATGAAACCGCCATCTCTTCCTCTCTTCCTCGTCACTTCCCCTCATCGTTAATGAGAAATAAGAACTACTTGTGAATATTACGTACAGCGTCTATATATCAAAAAGCTGTAAGTCTTTCTATAGTCTCTTTCTACTATATATAATGGGATAGATGTCTTGCAGGCTTTGAGCCCCTGAATATCAGTATTTTAAGGGTGCTAACTGTACTATTGTGAAGTATAAAAAGCCCTAAAATATGTATCAAGTAGCAGTTTTGGTTGATGAAGACTCTCATTCACCCAAAAACTAGAAACAAAACTCTTGAATGGTCCTCAAGTCATATATTGTTTACTAGATTGGTGTCCGACTCGTCGGTTGAAATGTTATTTGAACACGACGTATTTACGATGCATGTGTATCCTAATTTTTGCAAGTGAGTTGAAATGCTTAATTTTGTATGAGATTAAGATGATTTCAAAATTATTTTTTAATTTTATGAAATTATACTATTTTTTCATCGGTGATCGAACATTGTATTTTTAATGACTTGTGAAATTATAATTCTTGGTGCCTGACCCGGTCATGCTTAATTAATTTTCCTTTACTGTGGTTAGTTTATAACTTCATATTAAACCATGTAAGTATGTAACTGATACATATGGTTTAATTTCATATCCGTAATCTAAGGGTGCTAGCTAGTTGCAATATTAAGAAGTATAAAGCCCTAAAATATATATCAAGTAGCAGTAATGGTTGATGAAGACTCTCATTCACCTAAAACTAGAAACAAAACTTCTATGTATATATATATATCGATGGTGATGTGTTATGAATGGTCCTCAAGTCATATTGTTTATAGTTTTTGTGGAAAAAGAAACGACCTTAATCACATGAAATATCCAGCGTAATAAAAATAAAAAGCATCTTTTTGGATGAGTGACCTGAATCGAAGCATCTTTTTTCCCCAAAAGGGTTTGTTCAAATTTGAAGCAAAACAGTAAACAAAAGAAGATTCCCAAGTCATTTCAGCAACCAAATATTTCAAATGAAATAACTTAATGCACGTTTTTTTGTCATCGGCTTTCTTCGTGTTCTCTTTATTGATTCTACAACGCAATTGTCTTTCATTAGTTCATCTATATTATATGCATGGTTATAGAGATTAATACATACAAGGAGAACATGTAGAGGATATATAGAAGAAGAAAAAAAAGATAGGCCAAAAAAAGAGAAATTAAGGTTTTTCCTCAGAATTGTATTTCTTTGACCGATAACATTTGGATCATAGATTTGAAAAATGAAATATTGTGTAAAATATTGGAATTCAAAAATCAAAGATTGATTTATGGACTTAAACCTAACGGGGAAAGATCTCTGGAAGTAACGGTGGATGTCGATGATATCATAAATGTTGATTGTTTCAAGGATGTCGCGGTTTTAATAGTGGATAACCATATCAAACTAGATGATCGGTTCTAGGAGTTTGTCACAACGCTAAAAGAAACTTAGGAGAGAGGTAACGAATATGAAAGCATTTCACAAGATGATGTTAGATCTGATGTCCCAAGTGTGAGTTAAATAATCTCGTGTCGATGAAGGGCTACGTCGGCGAACTCGTCTCCCGGACTACACACGGGCTGGAAGCGGCGCGTGGAAAGCCGAAGGTGTCGAGCTTAGGACTGGGATTGCATGTGTGATAGGTGGGCTAGGGTTTTTGGGCTACAGTGAGGAAGCTCAGTCTTCTCTGAGTCTGGCCTCTGCTTTTTATAGATAGGTAGGCAATTCAGCAAATCAAAGACAGGTGTCTTTAGTAACAATTAACGATTGGATAGAATTTGTGAAGAGGAAGCCCAGTCTTCTCTGAGTCTTGCCTATGCTTTTTATAGATAGGTAGGCAATTAAGCAAAACAACGACAGGTGTCTTCAGTTCATAGACTAGAAATTTAAATAAACAGTAACAATTAACGGCTAATAACGACTAAGTGGAACGCTATCGTTTCTTCCTTCACTTCTTCTCATCTTAGCAACACGTCGTCGTTCTTCTTCCTTCTTCTGCCTCACTTTGAATCCCTCTGCAATTAGGATTGCAGACCTGCAACTAGGATTGCAGACCTGCAACTTCTTCTTGTAATCCTTCCATCATCATCATCATCACTTCTCTTTAGTTCTGTCATCCCCCCTCAAGTTGGTGGTATCAACTTGATCCCCAACTTGACCAACAACTCCTTCAATCTAAAACGATCAAGCCCTTTGGTGAAGATGTCTGCAACCTGTTCAACAGTATTAACATATTGCAGTGTGATCAATCCAAGCTTTACCCTTTCCCTGGTCACATGTATGTCAATTTCAATATGTTTTGTCCTTTCGTGGAACACAGGGTTCTCTGCTATGTGAATAGCAGACCTATTGTCACAGAAGATAGTAATAGGCAAAGGAACCTATATGGACAGTTCAGAAAGCAACCTCTTCAACCATTCTACTTCACATACAAGATGTGTCAGGGCTCTATACTCATCTTCTGAGGATGACCTTGAAACAGTGGTATGTTTATTAGTTTTCCAGGTAACCAGAGATAAACCAAGCATGGTACAATATCCAATGATGGATCTTCGAGTCACTACAAGAAAACTTAGTTTTAGAGGCAAATAATTAGAGACAATTATTGAATTAGACTCTAAAGATAAGCGTACGAGGCAAAAACATTATTTGCTCCTATAGATATAATTATTTGACTCTGTATCGAAATTTCTGATTATTAATATATATAAATTAACTTGAAATATTAACTACAGAGACAATTACTGTATTTGTCTCTAAATTTTTCCAAGTCATTCCACTAAACAGCGTATGGAGGCAAATTTAGTTGCCACTAAAAGTATTAACTCTAGCCCTAAATAATAGCGAGACAAATTACTTATAGAAAGGTACTACCACAAATTAATTAATTCCAAAATTTTTAAAGCGCAGGGCATGACATGATTCGTTTGAAAATGGAATTGGAAGGGTCGTGGAGCAAATGAATCAACAAAAAATAATAAGAAGTAATTATAATTAAGGATATAAGTCTATTTATTCACCCGGTAAAAAGATTGGGCCTTTTCTATTCAACTTCAGTAGGGCTCGTTGTAAAAATAAAATAAAAAACTTCAATAGGATTTCTCTCATTATCCCTCTGCCGCCTCTAGAATAACGCCGTCGCTCCACAGATGAACTCAATGTTGTTGTTTGCTTGTGGCTATTGGTTCTCCCTTTCAGCAGGCTAGCAATTGTGGACTAGGGATAAGAGTTAGCGGCCAATCTGCTGGCTTCGGATACCAAGGTTTAGAGAGTCGGCAGCGTGAAGGTTACATTGTAAACTCAAGTCTTTGCAATGGCACGATCTTCTACAGGGTATGTTGTTCTTCACCCCTTCGTTAAATAAAACCAGTAATCTCGTCATATGAATCTGTTAAGTTTCATCGGTAGAATAATATTGAATCCAGAACGATTCACAGATACCAAATCTGTAAGTATTATATTGAATCTGGAACCACGACTTGTTGTTTCCAAAGAAGGAAGAATCCCTAACAAAACCATGAGGTAAAGTAGCCACCATATATTCTCTATTGTTGAACTCTATTACTTTTTTTGCGACTATTGCTTTGGTTATAGACTGTTCCTATTCTTTTTATGAATGATTTGGATAAAAATCTACATTTGTGTGCTAATGTTTAGGTTCAAAAGAATTACAACTAAATTTCTTGCGGACAAAGATGATGCTTGATAGTATCAAGTACATGAAGAGAAGAGTTCCAGCACATCAGTAATAGCAATGGCAAGAGTGGAGAAGCTACTCACGGTGATCAAGAGGGAGAGATGAAGCTTGATATTTTCTCATTGTATACATTTTTATAATTAAGAATGAAATTATCATTTATTTGAATTTGATGTATTCCTCTTCGAATAATATGTATTTTAAGAATAATGTAATCATTCATGTATTTAATTTATTCAATAATTTTTTTTATCTTTGTTAATTGAATAGAATATCAAATTTTTAGAGGCAATTATGAATATATATTATATGCATCTAAAAGCTCAATAACAACCAAATATTTGTCTCAAAAAGTATGCAATAGACAAAAGTATTCAGAATGAAAATAACAAGCTTTTATAATTAGAAACACAATCAAATAAATTTGTCTCCAATTCCTTAATTAGTAACATATATTATTTGATTCTATGTCTGTTTCTTAAAGGAATTAGAGACAGAGGCGTCCGATGCAAATAATGTATTTGCTTCAAAAGATATACCGAAGCAAATAAATATCATTTCGAGTCAAATAACCTCTATTTCTAAAACCAAGTTTTGTTGTAGTGAGTGTCAGGGCAACTTGCCCAGTCTGAGTCACTATACCTTGTCATCTTGAGTTCTACTTCATTGTTGAAGTGGATCCCTTAATCTAGTCTCATGTAACCTTCGACATCTTCCAGCAAAGTCCCACTAGCTGTCAGCTTTACCTTGGTGTCAATAAGTGTTTTACAACCTTTTGATTCCAAGTATCCTCTATCCTTCAAAAGCACCAAGCAGTACTTCCTCTAACAGACAACTAGTCCATTTGAAGTTCTACTAACCTCCAATCCCAGAAAATACTTGAGAGGCCCCAACAGTTTAATCTTAAACTCTTTACTTAAGGCTGCCTTCACTTGTTCTATGTCATTTTTAGAATCTCCCCCTCCTCCCCCCCCCAGTATGATAGCATCAACATAAACCAACAACACTGTAATCTTCCCATGAGTCCACTTTATAAACAGTGAGTAGTCTGATGCTGACTGTGAGAAACCAAACTTCGGTAAGAAACTTGTCAACTTAGCAAACCACTGTCTGGATGCTTGTTTTGGCCACTTCCAGAGGGTACCTCTAACCCAAGTGGCGGTTTCATGTGAACCACTTCATCCAATTCTCCATGCAAGAAGGCATTGGAGACATCTAACTGTTCCAAAATCTAGTATTTAACACTGGCTACTGCCAGAAAAGTTTTTACTGTGTTGATCTTTGCCATAGAACTGTGTATACCCCTTTGCAA